GTGAATTTCAGATGGCGATTCCAGAAGGGATTTTAATCTATTAGGATACGAAAAGATATAGATTGGATACGCCACCTAAAGCAATGGAATTCTTTGACAACCATAGAGCATTTCTGGAAGGAGGTGATTTTGAATCTGGTACAAGGAGAGAAACAAAGAAACAGGAAGAAATGGCAGTAGAAGGAGCAGTCAAACCAAGAGAGGAGGAAGAAATTAAAAACACATACACAGAAAAGGAGCAAGACCAAGAGATCAGAGACAGATAAGATCGACTAGAACAGGGCTTTCAACCGGTGGTATGTGTACCACTTGTGGTACATTAACGAGTGGCAGGTGGTATGCAGCCCTGCCTAGCCAAGTGTAGTGGGGGAGGGAAAGAGCCAGCGCAGGCAAGGACTTACTATGAGAGAATCCTCTGGAGCTGCAGAGTGGCTGGGCTGAGGCAAAGGCCCCAGGCTCACTTTTGGCTCACCCTCACCCATGAGAAAGGAGGAGGAGGGAGGCGGAGACAGGAGAGGCTATAAAGGAGGCAGTTTGGGCGGGAGAGGGCGAAAAAGAAAAAGCAGCAGCCTTGGGAGGAGGCGGAGTCAGCTCTAGCTGCACGGAAGGAAAAGAAGAAGAAGAAGGAGGTTGGGGAGAGAGGAGAGGAGATCAAGCAGGCCGGACATGAGCCCATCTACAACTGCTGTGGCAGCCATCTGTGCTGGCAACAGCAAACAGGCAAGAAATGCACTGGGGGAGGGGTTGCTCTCCAAGAGGAATGAAAAAAAGCAGCAATGGCTGGAGGTGAGGCACAGAGGAGGGGGGGAGGGAGATGGAGAGTGGAAGAATTCTTATGTGCTTTTGTGACTTTGAAGTTCTGGGATTTGTGCAATGTGGGCTTTGTGTTCTTAAGGAGTGTTTGGCAATTTCTATTTGGCTGATGGCTGATGTCTCGTGTTAGCTTCTATTGCTCTGCTATTGTTAGCTGTAAGTTTTGCTGCAAGGGATTTTGAAGTATTTTTCTCCTGAATGGATTTTTGCCTGTAGCATTCCTTTACTTATGAATGGAGCCATTTGGGGAGCCATACTTACTACATTTTTTTTTCTTCCTTAAGTGCTGGCTGCCTTTTTAAGCTACTCAGCAGCTTGTCTTTTCTGTCTCTGGAGGCTTTTCCTTGTTTGATGAATATATGAAACAGAGAAAATATGGGGGGAGGGTCAAATTCTTCCTTCAGAAGGAGGTGGGCATGAGAAAGGGAGGCAGGGAGGGAGGGAAGTCCCGCCTTAGCATTTGGCCACCAGTAGCCCTGCCATTGACTTTGCTTGTTAAAAGGTTGCAAAAGGGGATCACATGACCCTGGGACACTGTGACCATCATAAATATAAATCAGTTGCCAAGCATCCAAATATAAATCACATGACCCTGGGCATGCTGCAATGGTCATAAGTGTGAAAAATGGTCATAAGTCATTTCAATGCAATTGCAACTTTGAACAGGGGGTTTTTTTGGTCATCAAGTTTTTGACACCTTGCTGGGTGGTACTCGAATATTGCCATATCCAAAAAGTGGTTCAATCGGTGAAAAGGTTGAAAAGCCCTGGACTAGAAGATTAAGACCCTAGATATAACTGAAAGAGATGGAGAAGGAGAGTGGGATTTTGTCAATAAATATAAATGGACTAAATTCTCCCTCAAAAAGGAGAAAATTCTTTACACAATTACAAAAATTAAAAATGGATATAATTTGTCTCCAAGAAACACATATTAAGAGACAACACTATAAGTTGTTAGAACAACCGAAAATTGGCAAACTTCACTTTGCATTAGCACTTCAAAAAAAAAAAAAAAAAGGAATAGCTTTATAAATTAAAGAAACGATGAACCCAAACCAATTTATGCGGATGAAGAGGGGAGAATATTAATGGGGGAAATAATGATGGATCAAAAACAGATACTAATGGTAGCAATATTAGCACCAAATTATAAACAAGAACAATTTTACCAAAAATTACATTAAAAATATTAGATTTAAACTATCAAAATCTCTGTATAATGGGAGACTTTAATGCAATAACAGATGGAACTTTAGACTATAAAAACTTTAAACAAGGGAAGAAAGGAGGAAATATATTACCTAAAGCATTTTCATAAATGACAGAACCAAGAAAGAATTAAGATGGTCCTTGAATAAATCAATATTGAAAGAAAAAGAATTTATGTAACTAGCAACAAAGGAAATGGTGTTTTTTTCTTCAAAATAAACAAGAAAGAAGAAACATCGCTTCAAAATGTGTGGGATACAGCCAAAGCATATTTCAGAGGGTTGGCTATAACCTATACTGCTAAAAAGAATAAAGAAAAGAAACAACAACAGTTAAAGTTGAAGGAAGAATTCAGAAAGTTAGAATCAGAATTACAAATAGACCCACAAAAGAAAATACTTAAGAAACAAATGGAGATAATAAAACATAAATTAAATCTAGCTGAGACGGAAATAATGGCTCAACAGATTAAAAGGGCTAAACAGAACTTTTTTGAAAATGCCAACAAGCCGGGGAGATGGTTAGCATATAGACTGAAAAAAGAAAAAGAGAAAAAACTGATAAATAAGCTGCAAAATCCAAAAGGTGAATTACACTTTCAAAATGATACAATTAAAAAAATTATCAAAGATTATTATGAGATACTTTACAATGCAGAGGAAATTCCAAAAGAAAAAATACAGCAGTATTTTGAAAAAGCAGACTTATCAAAAAAATTCAGAGAATATTCAAAATATATTAAATGGAAAAATATCAATGATGGAGATTATAGAGGCTGTAAAAAGGCAAAAAATTGATAAGACTCCAGGACCAGATGGATTACCTGCAGAGCTTTATAAATCATTACAAGATATACTAAGTCCTATTTTGAAAGAACTGTGTAATGAAATACTCCTGGAGGCTAAAATACTAAATATATGGATTTAAGCCAATATTACTTTAATACCCAAAGAAGACTCTGATTTAACACAAATAAAAAACTATAGACCAATATTCTCCTTCATGGATTACTGCCTTGTCGTGGCGAAGGGGCTTGCATAACTCAATGAATCTATGAGCTATGCCATGCAGGGCCACCTAAGACGGACAGGTCATAGCAGAGAATTCTGACAAAATGTGATCCACTGGAGAAGGAAATGGCAACTCACTCCAGTATCTTTGCCATGAAAACCCCATGGACAGTACCAAAAGGCAAAAAGATATGACGCTGGAAGATGAGCCCCTCAGGTCGGAAGGTGTCCAATATGCTACTGGGGAAGAGCAGAGGGCTAGTACTAGTAGTGCCAGAAAGAGTGAAGCAACTGGGCCAAAGCCGAAAGGATGCTCAACTGTGGATGCATCTGGTGGTGAAAGGAAAGTCCAATGCTGTAAAGATCTTTTCTACATAGGAACCTGGAATGTAAGATCCATGAATCAAGGCAAGCTGGACGTGGTCAAACAAGAGATGACAAGACTGAACATCGACATCTTAAGAATCAGCAAACTAAAATGGACAGGAATGGGTGAATTTAATTCAGAGGACCATCAGGTATACTAATGCGGACAAGAATCCCTCAGAAGAAATGGAGTAGCCTTCATAGTCAATAAAAGACTATACATCTGACATGTATTTACAATAGTTGCATAGGTCACCATTTGTGACCTTCCCAACCGGCTCCTGACAAACAAAGTCAATGGGGGAAACTGAATTTGCTTAATGACTGTATGATTCACTGAACAACTGCAGTGATTTACTTAACAGTCATGGAAAAAGAAAGGTCATAAGGGTCGTGGGCATGACTCACTTAATAACTGCCATGTTTATCTTTCTCTGTACTTCTCATCACACAACAATGTTAAAGGTCCCTTACTTACAGTATGTAATTTGTAGCTCTATCAATAATCCAAACCTTCTGGGATGGTCAGAAAACAAGACACAATTAAGAATTTTATTGTATTTTTTAAAATTGTTGAGCCTACATTGGAATCTTATGGGGAAACAAAGTAAACTGACCACCATGAGGAGCTATGGATATATGGTACATATTTTAACTTAATCAGATAGTATAGCAATCATATAAATAGAATTATAACCCTTACCCATTTCCGACTGCAAGGCCCTGTATTATAGGTCTGGCTTTGATATGTCAACATAAAAGAACTTCAGTGGTTCCTTCACTGTTATCTCAGTTCCCTGCACCTGCAGTGAGCATTGTGATGAAAATAAAAGTGAAGGCAATGAGGAAGATCAAAACTTGGGAAATATCGACTTCCGCTTCCTGTAAGCAGCAAAATCAGTTGAGGGATTCGGGATGCCGAGCTCTCCAGCTGAGTTTCTTCCTGTTTGGGGACCCTAAATGGGCCAGAAGCCGCCCCAGAGAGGTGGCAATGAAGGAAGGTAGTCCTAGGGATCTAGGAGAGACAGCGGGTCCAGGAGAAGCCTTCCAGAAACCAACAGGATAAAGTCTAGCTAACTCCATTGTCTAGCCCCAGCTGCAAGCAACGGAAGTCAAAAGCTCTACTCTAAGCTGATTGTAAGCAGTGCGTTTGAAATCTGGGTAAGAATATTGATTTTCCCTATCCTACTTATTTTCCTGAAAAGGAGAACTCCCAAGAAGGAAAAATACCTCCGAGAGTGAAAAAGGGAGGGTTTCCCCCCCACCTTTTGGCTATTGGAAGCGCGAATATAACTCTTTAAGGAGGAAAAAGGCTAGAAAGAATTGAAAAATGAGCAAATGCTAATACCTACTGGTGGATGAGGATTATGAAATCTCTATCTGTGGCCTTCAAAGTTTTAATCAACACGGCTGTTCAGATAAAGTGAGACTTATAGAAACAATGTATACTTCACAAGAGGAAATATATGATAAGCTGCAACTAATTCAAAAGACAATGATCTTAAACCACAAAGAAATACAGAATAACTTTGAAAGTATAAATCAACTTATCTCCAATTTAATTTTACTCCAAAAAAACCCTCAGGAGGATACAGCAGAGATGACTGAATATAAATCCAAGGATAAAGACTTAATGGACTTTCACAAAATAAAAGAGTATGATTTAATTCAAGTGGAAGAAAAGACAATTTATATTTCAACACCACAAAGCAAACTTGAGGATGAGAGGAAATACTTGCTGGGGAGACAAAAAGTGACAAAAGAAGTGGAGAGAAAAGGAAGGAAAAAGATTCCTAATAAAAAGGAGTGGGCAAATGCCCATGACAAAGACATTGATTTACTCGCTATATCTACAGCAACACCTATGATCATACAGGAAAACCTTTTGATTCAGCAAAGTACATTGATTAAGAAAGATTCTGGGCAAAGAAAAAAGATTAAGATGGAAACTAAGAGAATAGATGATGGGACATATCAGAGAGAATACTTAAAAAAGAAGAATGTGTTTGAATATGGTTAAAGAAATAGAAAAATTTTGGAATACCACTTTAAGAGGGCTGAAATATTTTAGATACTTAAATGTGACTGAATTTAAGGAAAGTATATAAAAAATGTTTTGAATCAGAATTAAGGGATTAGATGACTAGATCTATTGAATGGAATGTCTAAAGATTAAATATATTCTTAACTATGGTTAAAAAGAATTAGAAATCTGAGGAAATAAATACATATTAACCTAGGAGGGATATATATTCTAAGTAGTATGTTATTTCTTATGTTTCATTGCTCTTGTTTTTCTTCCTTCTTTTTTTATTTTTTATTTTTTCTTCGCTTTTCTTTTTCTTTTTCTCTCTTTTTACTCTCTTATCTATTCCTTAAGAAATGTAAAAATGTGAGATGGCTTATATGGAAAAAACAGAATTAAATCTGTCAATGTAAATGTAACTAATTGTTGAAAAAACCTTTACTAGTAAAAATAATTTGGTGGGAGAAACAAACTAAAATAAGGATCGTAACAGGATTGATGATAAGGCAACTCAAATGACTGAAAAGAAAAGAAATATTATATTAATATGATGATTTTTTTAGGAATATTGGAAAATTATATACATAATTGTCATTTACAATAAGAATTGTATTAATGTTTGCAAAAAATGATGTTTTGGGGAAAGAGGAAATCAATTAAAATTAATATATGGAACACAGATTATAGAAATCAATTGTTAAGGAGTGTTTTTACAAATGTAACCCAGACAACACACTGTTTACCAATTATTGAGTGACTTATGCTTATTAAATATATATATATATATATATATTAAAAAAAACAAAACTTGGGAAATTGTGGGATCGCAAAATCCCGGGGTCCCGCTCCCTGCAGGACGGTGGTGATGTACGTTGGCCTAAACCAACGGGCCTCGCTTTAGATCAGGAAACACACGGGCAACATGCTTCTTCAGGTGAGATGGCAGGCAAAGACCCTGAAGCCTCTCCGTGCCTCTCTTTTATTGGTACATTAGCATAATCAAGGGGGGGGTGTACAAAAGGACAATAGGGGGATGGCTCTTCATTGCCATACACAAAGAACAGGAAACTTAAGTCAAGGAGGTACTAATTCAAGGTAAGCTTTTCAGGAGAAATGAAACTTAAGTCAGGAAATGAAACCTAAGGCAGGCTTTTCAGGAAAAACGAAAC